GGCGGGATCGGGACTTGAAGAGAACTCCTAGGGACGGTGTTTTTCAGCGGGAACTTGTTGAGTACGGGATGTTGTGTTGGGCACGAGAGCTGTTGAGTACTTGGTGATGTGTTGGGCACGGGGGCTGTTAAGTACTGGGTGTTGTGTTGGACACAGAAAAAGCTGAGCACAAGGGGAGCGGGGGTTGTTGGCGGGCGGGTGGCGGGTGGCGGGCGGGATCGGGATCTCAATGGAACTCCTACAGGAGGATGTGTTGCAGCGGGAGCCTATTGAGTACAAGGTGTTGTGTTGGGCACAGAGGTTGTTGAACATTGGGTGCTGTGTAGGACACGGAGGCTGTTAAGTATTTTGTGTTGTGTTGGACGCAGAGAAAAGCGAAACACAAGGAGAGCGAGGGCGGGCTGCGGGTGGGCGCGCGGGCGGGCGGCGGGCGGCGGTCGGGATTATCATAGAACGCCTGATGTGGGTGTCTTGCAGCGGGAGCTTGTTGAGTAGAGGGTGTTGTGTTGGACGCGGGGGCTGTTGAGTACAGGGTGTTGTGTTGGGTACGGGGGCTGTTGACTACTGTGCTCTGTGTTGGACACGGAGAGCTTTGATACAAGGAGAGCGAGGGCGGGTGGCGGGCGGGCGCGCGGGCGGGCGGCGGGCGGCGGGCGGGATCGGGATTTGAATAGAAGTCCTAAGGGGGTCGTCTTGCAGCAGGAGTCTGTTGAGTACAGGGTGTTGTGTTGGACGCTGTGTGTGTTGAGTACGGGGTGTTGTGTTGGGCACGGAGGCTGTTGAGTTTTGTGTTTTGTGTTGGGCACCGAGAGAGTTGAGCACGATGAGAGCGGGGGCGGGCGGCGGGCGGGCGCGCGGGCGGCGGGATCAGGATTTTTACCTAACAGCGAAGACTGATAGGTTTCTCATAAGGTCATGAGAGAGCAGCAGATGACTCCACAGGGGGGTCCGCGCGGCATCCGGGGAGCTGGGTCCGAATTCGTTTTTCGCAAACAGTCACACACTTCGTGCTCTTCGACCTCCCAGAACTCCATTCCCGGGCCACATTCTGAATGCCCGGAGCCAACTGTATGCCACTTCGTGCTCTTCGACCTCCCAGAACTCCATTCCTGGGCCACATTTTGAATGCCCGGAGCCAACTGTAGGCCACTTCGTGTTCTTCGATTTCCCAATACTCCATTCTCGGGCCACATTTTGGATGCCTGGAGCCAACTGTAGGCCACTTCGTGCTTTTCGAGTTTCCAGAATTCAACTCCCAGGCCACATTTTGAATGCCCGGGGCCAACTGTAGGCCACTTCGTGCTCTTAGCCTTCCCAAAACTCCATTCCTGGGCCACATTTTGAATGCCCGGAGCCAACCGTAGGCCATTTCGTGTTCTTCGAGTTCCCAGAACTCCATTCCCGGGCCACATTTTGAATGCCCGGAGCCAACTGTAGGCCACTTCGTGGTCTTCGAGTTCCCAGAACTCCATTCCTGGGCATGATTTTGAATGCCCGGGGCCAGCTGTAGGCCACTTCGTGTTCTTCGAGTTCCCAGAATTCAACTCCCGGGCCACATTTTGAATGCTGAGGCAGGCTGATGCTGCTGAGGCTGAGGCAGGCTGAGGCTGAGGCAGGCTGAGGCTGAGGCCGAGGCTGAAGGCAGACTGAGGCTGAGGCTGAAGCAGGCTGAGGCTGAGGCTGAGGCAGGCTGAGGCTGAGGCTGAGGCAGGCTGAGGCTGAGGCAGGAGGCTGAGGTTGAGGCAGGCTGCAGGCTGAGGCTGAGGCTGAGGCGGCTGAGGCTGAGGCCGAGGCTGAAGGCAGACTGAGGCTGAGGCTGAAGCAGGCTGAGGCTGAGGCTGAGGCAGGCTGAGGCTGAGGCTGAGGCAGCAGGCTGAGGCTGAGGCAGGCTGAGGCTGAGGCTGAGGCTGATGCAGGCTGAGGCTGAGGCAGGCTGAGGCTGAGGCCGAGGCTGAAGGCAGACTGAGGCTGAGGCTGAAGCAGGCTGAGGCTGAGGCCGAGGAGGCAGGCTGCTGAGGCTGAGGCTGAGGCAGGCTGAGGGCTGAGGCTGAGGCTGAGGCAGGCTGAGGCTGAGGCTGAGGCTGAGGCTGAGGCTGAGGCGAGGCTGTAGGCAGACCGAGGCTGAGGCTGAAGCAGGCTGAGGCTGAGGCTGAGGCAGGCTGAGGCTGAGGCTGAGGCAGGCTGATGCTAAGGCAGGCTGAGGCTGAGGCTGAGGCTCATGCAGGCTGAGGCTGAGGCAGGCTGAGGCTGAGGCCGAGGCTGAAGGCAGACTGAGGCTGAGGCTGAAGCAGACTGAGCTGAGGCTGAGGCAGGCTGAGGCTGAGGCTGAGCAGGCTGATGCTGAGGCAGGCTGAGGCTGAGGCTGAGGCTGATGCAGGCTGAGGCTGAGGCAGGCTGAGGCTGAGGCCGAGGCTGAAGGCAGACTGAGGCTGAGGCTGAAGCAGGCTGAGGCTGAGGCAGGCTGAGGCTGAGGCTGAGGCAGGCTGATGCTGAGGCAGGCTGAGGCTGAGGCTGAGGCTGAGCAGGCTGAGGCTGAGGCAGGCTGAGGCCGACCGACGCAGACTGAGGCTGAGGCTGAAGCAGGCTGAGGCTGAGGCAGAGGCAGGCTGAGGCTGAGGCTGAGGCAGGCTGATGCTGAGGCAGGCTGAGGCTGAGGCTGAGGCTGATGCAGGCTGAGGCTGAGGCAGGCTGAGGCTGAGGCCGAGGCTGAAGGCAGACTGAGGCTGAGGCTGAAGCAGGCTGAGGCTGAGGAGGCAGGCTGAGGCTGAGGCTGAGGCAGGCTGATGCTGAGGCAGGCTGAGGCTGAGGCTGAGGCTGATGCAGGCTGAGGCTGAGGCAGGCTGAGGCTGAGGCCGAGGCTGAAGGCAGACTGAGGCTGAGGCTGAAGCAGGCTGAGGCTGAGGCTGAGGCAGGCTGAGGCTGAGGCTGAGGCAGACTTAGGCTGAGGCTGTGACTGCGACTGCCATTGCCGCTGCGACTGTCATCGCGAATGCGACTACGACTGCGAGAACAGCAGAATTCTACAACTGGGTTCTCATTTGAATATTAAGGGGAATGCTTCCAGATATGCTCCTACACATCGCTGTTAGGTTGCTTTGCCGGGATAATACTAGAACTCCTGGGGGGGTGTCTTGCAGCGGGAGTCTGTTGAGTACAGGGTGTTGTGTTGGGCGCGGAGGCTGTTGAGTACTTGGTGATGCGGTGGGCACGGAGGCTGTTGACTATTGTGTTTTGCGCAGGAGACGGAGAGAGTTGAGCACAAGGGGAACGGGGGCGGGCGGCGGGCAGGCGGGCGGCGGGCGGCGGGCGGAATCGGGATAATATTAGAACTCCTGAGGAGGGTGTCTTACAGCGG